ACCTCAATGACCAACAGAAAATACTGGAGGAATAAGGGAAGAATTGACAGTGATTTAGGGGAGATTTAGTTCACCTACATCCAGAGAGCACTGTGAACCCAAACAACAATGGATCTGGACCAAATTTGGCACAAATAACTGATACGCCTGTATCTGAATATTTGTCGGGTTTGGGGTGGGGGGGAATTTTGATTTTGCCATTTGGTAGTTGTAGTTGCTGGAATTTATAGTTAACCTACAAGCAAAGAAAACTTTAAACCCAGCCCACAATGGATCTGTACCAAACCTGGCACACTACCTACATAGCCAACATTGAATACTGTGGGGTTGGGGGTGGGCTGTTTTTGAATTCTGGGCGTTGTAATTCACCAGCACTCAGAGAGCACTTTGTATCAAACTAGTAATGAAACCAGTAAACTTGCCTCATATACTCAACATGCCATACTTTGAATACTGGTGGGGTTTCAAGGGGACTGACCTCAGAGGTTAGGAGTTATAGTTCACTCACACTGACAGAGCAATGTGCATGCAACTGATGAATCTGGACCAAAATTGGCACAAACACCCAATATGACCAACTTTGAATACTGGTGGGGTTTGGGGAGGGCTGACCTAAAATGATGGTAATTGTAGTTCTCCCTGCATCCAGGGAACCCTGTGACCCCCACCAAAGGAGCTGAACTAAACTGGGCACACAGACCCAACATGGCCAACTGTGAATACAGGCAGGGTTTGGGGATGATTGACCTTGGCATATGGGAGTTGTAGTAAGTAGCGTTACAAATTACCAAAGCTGCTTCTCCTGCTGCTCCTCCTACTGATGCTGCTGGGTTGTCCCACATCATGTGGGCGCTTTCCACCTGTCTTGAAGGGACTCGTTAGTGCGAGCCTTCCTCCAGCCTCGCACACTCTCCCTCACACATGCACACCACACTGCCATGCAGGGTGCATGCCTGGTCTTCCTTCCCCACTTGGGAGTCTCAGAAAAAGTCATCCCCCTTGCCGAGAGGACAGCCAATCACAGCAGGAGGAGGCTTTTGGTGGGAGGATTTGAAGTCTGTTTCCAAAAAGGAAGAGGACAGGTGGAGAGCCTAGGGGTCCTAAGACAATCAGAAAAATAAGAGTTTTCTGATAGTCTTTGGCGACCCCTCTGAAACCCCCTTCCCAACCCCCTCAGGGGTTCTGACTCCCATGTTGAGAAACGCTGAGCTAAGGGGATTCCATGGCAGGTCAGGACCCACAGATTAATTGGCTGCAATCTAGAGAACTATAGCTGTCCCTCATTGAAAGGCAAAGTCCTGTGATCCAAACAAGTATGAGGCAGGAAGCGAAGGCCACTTAAGGATGGCAGATCCATAACCTTTAGCATTTCACATTCAGTGATTTTCCCAGGGATTTCTGACATTTAGTCAACAGCATTTGGTATTCCTTAGCAGTCTCCCACTCAAGTACCAACCTAGGCTGATCCTCCTTGGCTTCCAAGATCAGATGGATGATACCTTTAAAGCAGGCATGGACAAACTTTGGCCCTCCGGGTGTTTTGGACTTCAACTCCCACAATTCCTAACATCCTCAGGCTGAGAGGGGGATGGAAGGGGCCTGAGGCTGTTAAGAATTGTGAGAGTTGAAGTCCAAAACACCTGGAGGGCCAAAGTTTGTCCATGCCTGTTTTAGAGTATTTAGGCCTCAAGAGTAGTCCTCCAAATATTTATTGGGAATTTGATAAACAAGAAGGGACATTTTTCCAAATACAATAAAGCTAAAAGATACTGAGTGAAAATACATATCTAGTTTCAGAGAATACTCAAGATTAATTTACAGTTAAAACCTGAAATGGTTTTTTTTGGGGGGAGGGGCTCATAGATGACATTTCAGTAAGATTTCTGAGAGGGTTCTAATATATCATTACAACATTATGGTATTTAAAGGTTTTGGAAATCTAGCGCTGTGAGAAGCAACTTAAAATGACTGGAGTATGTTGATGTGGTGAAGGTTAAGAGGGGACAGGATTGAAATGTTTAAATATTTGAAAGGATATTATGTTGAAGGTTGAGCAAGCTTGTGTTCTGCTGCTTCAGTGACTCAGTCACCAGGCTCAAAGGCAAACCTTAGATGCCCTGTTTGCTTGCCTTGGGTGCCAAGTCTTAAAGTCAAAGACTTGGGAAGGATATCAAAAGTAATGCAGTCTCTCTCTCTCTCTGCAATGCAACAGCCATTTATTGCTATTGTCCACTTAAGGTTCACTCCTTTAATGAAAAATAAGGCTATTCACAGCTCTCATAGCTAACTACACTTTTCAGGGTTGGAAGCAGTATGTTTCTGAATGCTAGGGAACTTTGAAAGCCGGGAGATTATTATTGCCACCTTATTATTACTCTGTGTTTCTCAGAGGCATCTTGTTGGGCCTTTGTGATATCAGAAGGCTATAGACAACACTGATCTCATCCAGCCAAAACTTATTGATGTAGACTTGTTTTTCCAGGTGTTTTCTTTCACATTTTCCTCACAGATCCTATAAAGGACCTTCAAAAACCTAGTCTGCAAAATGTACATAAATGTCACTGAACCATGTAGTTGTCCATCCAGTCCAACCCATTCTGGCATGAAGAAAGACATAATAAAAACAGCCTCCGCAGGTGATCATTGAAACCTGTTTAAAAAACCCCAGAGGAGATTCCTCTATGTCCCCAGACAACATATTCCACTGCCAAGTAGTTCTTATGTAAGTTTTTCCTAATGTTTAGCTGGCATATATTTTTCTGCCATTTAAATCCACTGCTCTGTGTCCTAGTTTGCAGAGCAGCAGAAAACATGCCGCCTCCTCAGTGTGACTCTTTCTAAGCATTCTCTATCTCTCAAATTAGGTGGCTTGACCGCAATTTCTTTATCCTTACAAGTGATCTCTATTGTGAAATAATTAATTTGTGTGGGAAACAAATGTTTCAGTACCAGACTCCTGTCTCGACAGGGGTTTGTCTCCCTGTATTTAGAAGTTTTAGAGGCTTTACTATTCCTCTGAATCTATCTATGGCTAAAACAGACTATGAATTGGGGGAAGTGAAAATCCCAGACCTCCAAACCATTGCAGACCCCAGGAAAGTCATTATGAACTAACTATCCAGGCTTTAGGGATTACTCAAATAACAAAAGGGTGGCTGAATGGCAGCTCAGCAAAATAATAGAAGCCAGGAAGGCATTAAGGAACACAATGCTTCTCCCTATTGTTTGGCTTACCTTAAAAATTGCCAGTCTCACGGACAACGATTATATGCATTTGAAAACACATTATTTTGCACCTAGTTTATTATACTGTGAAAGCTCATTTTGGTATCTACAGGAAGCATTCAAGGCCTGGAAACAAGTATGGGTGCCTGTTTGATCCAATGGTTCCTTATTTTTAAGGATAGTTTTTCCTCTTTTCACTCTTGGTGGCAAATGTATATGCCTCTAGTCAGGCATCCTCAAACTGTGGCCCTCCAGCTGTGTGGGCCTTCAACTCACAGAATTTCTGACAACTGAACAAGCTCCTTAGGGCTTCTGGGAGTTGGGGGCCCAAACAGCTGGAGGGCTGCAGTTTGAGGATGCCTGCCTCTAGTTTTTGGAGATGCATTCAAAACATAGAGATGACCAAACATAGCACCTGAACACAAATCAAGGACCATAAAAGGCACTACAGACTACTTCAACCTGAGAAGTCAGCCATAGCACTTGAACCAACCTGGACACAGCATATTTATTTGAAAACACAGAAATGCTGGACCACTCTAACAAAGGAGAAAACCATGAAAATAAACAAAACCCAGCTACCAATATTAAAAAAAAACCCTCTAAAATCAGGACAGTATATAAAGAACAACACTCAAAAAACAGGGGAATTCCAGACAGGAAACAATCAGGCACAGCTAACACCTCCCAGCAAAGGATTCCCCCAGGCAGGAGCCAGCCAGGCTTTGAAGCTACAAGGCTATTCAATGCGAACAATTTATTTATTTCTTTATTTATTTACTTTACTTTACTTATATACCGCTGTTCTCAGCCCGAAGGCGACTCATGGCAGTTCACAACAATCAAGAGCAGCAAAATTCAATGCAACAATATAAAAACAGTTAACACCTACATATTACACAATTAATAAACAAGGCTGGCCAATTGCAAGATTCACAGTTGCCTCCAGCAAACAAGAGTTCTTTCTTCCACCCTGGACATTCCACAGGCATATAAACCTCACTTGCCTAGTTTCCAACAGACCTCACAACCGCGGAGGGTGCCTGCCATAGATGTGGGCAAAACGTCAGGAGAGAGTGCTTCTGGAACATGGCTGGTCAACTCTGAAAACTCACAGCAACCCAGTGATTTCAGCCATGAAAGCTTTCGACAACACAAAGTTCTGTTTAGATTTGTTGCTGGAGGCTAATCCTCTTCCCAAGGTGTTTCAAAACTCATCAGCAGATAGTTAACATGTTTGTTCTTGTGAGCCTTCAAGTAATTTCCAACTTATGTAACCTCAAAGTGAACCTATCACAGGTTTTGTAGGGTTGAGAGAGTGTGAACCACCCAAAGTCACTCAGTGAGTTTCTACTCATTTTCTGCAATGTCTATGCTACTACACCATGTCTGCTCTCATTGTAAGCACTGCACTCCTTGAAAGTACTGAAGTCCATACTGAATGATTAATATTATAAAAAATATAGAAAATATGCAAACGTGCATATTACACAACACAAGCATATGCACTTTTTGACAAAGTTTCAAATTAATAACTCAGAAATCAGACTAATAACTCAGACCATCATGACACTAACTGCTAATATGATTCCAGAAATGCAAATTAAGGCACATAATATTGCTCTGCCACTGCTCTACACTCTACACCAGATAGGAAGCAGATGCATTGGAGATACTTCAGCAACTTAAAAAGGTGGGGAGCTTTACCTTTGCAATCAGTAAATAATTCTCACCTCCTTAACAACCAAGAAAAGGGATTTACAGAGGCACAGGGACACAACCCAGTGAGGTATAATAATTTGAGTGTTCATTACTCTGGAGACCAGGATTTATATCCCTGCTCAGCTACAAAGGGCACGAGGTGGACTTAACCCTTTGTCAATCAAGATGCCATCTGCTGTTTCTTCCTGTATATTGTTGTAGTGTGCCTTCAAGTCATTTCTGACAAATGGCAACCCTCAGTGAACCTATCACAGGCTCTTCCTGGTAAGATTTTGTCAGAGAGGGCTTGCCCTTGCTTTCCTGAGGCTGAGAGAATGTGACTCACCCATGTTCACCCAGTAGGTTTCTGTGGCTGAATGGGGATTTGATCCCTGACTTGCCAGATCAAATGGAACTACACATCAGATTGACCAGTGAAATTATCGAGTGCTGCAGGTTCTGTTGACACTGCAGGGCCCTGCCATACTGTATACAAGGTGAGAAACGAAGGTGCAATAAGGGTTCTGTATCCGCTCCAAATTTCTGATCATTAGGAGGCTTGTTTTATAGCTCACTGCCTAGGAATGCTAGCTTGATTTGTGCCCTTCTATTAAATCATAGGAAGATAAAAACATAGGAATGCTGTTGTTGGCCTTCAAATCACTTCCAACTAATGAGGACTCAGATAATCCTATCAATGGATACCTATGGCTAAGCAGGAATTTGAACCCTAGTATCCAGAGAGCAGTCCGACACCCAACTAAACCTTTCCTACTGTCATTCTAATGGGTCTTAATATCTTTTTTGGTTTTATTATCTGATTGTTTTTATTGTATTGAAATTGTATTTTTTGGTCTTGGCACCAATTGTAAACCGCCCCAAGTCACCTGTGGGCTGAGAGGGACGGCATATAAATATA